CACCCTCTCAGCTGAGAGGCCCCAAATGGCCCCTAGGGGCATTTGGGTGGCCACCATTTTCACTTTGCCATGCCCAACATCAGAAGGCACCACTTCCGTAGTGGCTTGGTGGGGGCTTCACTGTGGTCCTGCAGGGTTGGGTGGGAGACCCAGAGGCCAGCGGGCCTAATTCAGGATCCAGACCACCTCCTCCAGGTCCCGGCAGTGGGCCGAGGGGTGGGGTGGGTGGTGGTGTGCCCCTCTATGAAAGCCAAGGCTGGGCTCAACTGTACCATGAGGTTTATGCAGGGCAAGGGCTACAGCCAGGCTCCTAGGGACCAACTTGGGCTTTGAGGACCAACTGGGGCCCTGACGCCCCTACAGGACCTTGGACCTCTGGCCACGCTGTGCTTCACGCCCTGCTCTCTGCCTGAATTGAGAAGCAGTCCTTAAATTGACCATAATTTTTCACTGAGGGGTATGAATTATTAATTTTCTTTCCATTATGTTAATGGACATCCCCTGGATGGCATTAGTGACTAAGTGTTCAACTATTAGCTGAAAGGTTGGCTGGTTTGAGCCCTCAGAGGCCTCGTGTAAAACAGGCCTGGGGATCTGCTTTCCAAAGGTGACAGCCTCTAACATTTTATTCTCACTATCAGAGTCCATACGGACTCATTGTGAGCTTATAGGACAGAGTAGCATTGCCCCCTTTGGGTTTCCCAGGGTTTAACACTCTAAGGGAACCAAAAGCCTCATCTTTCTCTTGGAAAGAAATTGGCGGGTTCGAACTGCTGACCTTGAAGTTAGCATCTCAACCTATTAACCACTGCACTACCACAGCTCCCTAAAACCCTGTAAAATGCCCTTGGGTTACCTTGAGACAGAACCAAGCCCAGGACAGGAACCAATGACAGCAATAACCATGATCATGCTGAAGACAGACCCTACAAGGTGCTTTGCAATGGCCCTGGGAAAGCCAAGGCAGGACATGGTTTGGCCTCTCAAGGAGCCCTGAAATCACAACAGTGAGAGGTCCTTCCTCTCTGGGAACACTTGGCTTGTGGAAGTCAGCTATGCCAGCACTATATGCCAATAATGCCTACACTGGTCTCTGGGGACCATATAATTGAAACCAGAATGATGATTTCTACAAGTTTAAAGGCCTCGGGAGCATGAGTTTTACTAGGAAGTTCCTGCCTCTATCTCTTCAAAGTCTTTTTAATGACATTCAACTGTGGGGTCAGTCAACAAAAATTAGTGGAACTGCGGTGGTGGAAATGCACCTAGTGGCAGATTTTACTATAGCAAGCCATTAGAGATTTGCATGTAGATGTGTGGCAAATGGAATTGAAAGGTAAACCAGCCATAATTTGAGAAAAGTTGCTCAAAGAGCTAAGAATGAATGAATACTTAGGAAACTTTCTAATGCATTTTTGAATAATTTGCAGTTATTAGAAGTTCAACATTGCCTTTTTAATAAGAATTATCTGAAAATACATGCTCATTAGAATCATAACAAAAAGAACCCCTGCTGAGACTATTCAGAGGGAAAAATGTTTTATTTAGCTATTTTTGTAGTTCCAACACTTCCAGAAATCATCATCTTTGTATATTAAAAAGAACAAAGAATATTGCAAACAGATGTCAAGGAGTGAACTAAGTAATCATACTGCAAGGTAACTTCTTGCTATTTAAAAAAAATGACACCTTTGTTGCTGAAATGTGATAAAGATAGTGTACATGTTGATATAAACATTATATATTCACAAATAGGTTGTTGCGAAATGCTGGAAAATTTAAAATGGATACACATTTATGGAAACACATGCTCAACTATTGAATGACACTTTTGGACTATATAATTTAGCAATTTTTTTGTTCCAACAGATTCCTTGCATCAATAGGTGGTTTACACAGGCATTAATTGGGATTTTCCAGTGATTCTGAATATTTTTAAAAGACTACGGGAATTGTAATTTTACCTATCACATACCTATGAATCCACAGCCACCACCCTTCCATCCACATATAAAGGTACAGATAGCTATGATGATCGCAATTGTGTTAACAGCATTTCCAATACCAGCGGGTCGCCAGTGATCACCAGATTTCAGCAGAACGTTCAGACTAAGACAGAGAAGGAAGAAAGTGTCTTGATGTACTTCCGAAAATTAGCACAGGGAAAACCATGTAGATCACAAAGAATATTGTTCTGTATCGTGCTAGAAGATGCACCCTCTACGTTGGAAGGTGCTACACAATAGTCATGAACATTCACGCCAGAATGCTAGTGACATCGAAGGTGGTGCAGGACTGGACAGAATTTCCTTCCATTGTACGCACGATTGCCAGGGGCGAGAGATGACCGTATCTTATAAACAGGTGTATTTGCATTTAGAAGAATGATGTCAACCCTGTCTGGCAAGACATCTACGGGTATTCCTCACTATCAACTCCCTTATTATCTGTCATTTCACATTTATAACAGTGGCTTAAAAAAAACTACTATATGGCTCTTTTGCACACTAGTAATGTATGTGTAATAGTAACAAATGCCATCGTGGAGGCTAGAGTAATGCTGGCTGTGATGGAGCTGTGTCCACTTGGCTGGACCCTATTCTCAGTGGTTTAGCAGTTCGGTAATGATATAATCTGGCAGCTAGATAATGATGTCATTGGAAAGTTATGTAATGCTTTAGTCATTCTCCATTTTGTGATTGGATATGGTTAACTTCCATTTTTGAATAATGCTTTATATTCACATAATGCCCCGGTCTCTGGGCACATTGTTAAGTGAGGGGTGGGTTCTAAGGCTTTTAAAAGAATGGCCTGGTGGATTAACAATTAATGTTCTGAGCAGAGTTTTAAGAGCTCAACTTTTGAAATCAAGAAGACCTAGTTCTTTCATCTTGACCAATTTACTTACTGACTCTAAAACATATTATAAATTTCTTCATCTCTTAATGGAAGAAAATGCCAAATTCATGAGATTGTTGTAAGGAATAAACAGACTATCTCGTGTACAATGCCTAGCAAAAAAGGAACAACTTTGATAAATTATAGCTAATCAAATTCTTGCTATCATTGCAGAACACAACTGGTTGTCAAAATTTTTCAAAATAGATACTCTTTGAAGAAAAATAATAAAATGGACCCCGGATAATAAAGTAGATTTAAGTACTATTATTTAAAAGTTATATTTCAAAATCAATTTTCAATACCCATTTTTGAGAATT